GCCATGCTTCGCCTCCCAGCTGTGGTTCTCCTTGCAGTTCTCTGTGGTTGTAGCACAGCGTTTGTTTCTAGATGGCCCCGACCTTGGTCCCCAGGCTGGTGCCCTTGCTGTGGTGGTGCCAGCTGCTGCGTGCGTGCTAACTGAGCTTCCGTCTGTCTCTCCCCTCTCCGCGCAGCCCTGGGGCCCGACTCCTGCTCTGTTGGTATAGACGAGTAAGCCGGTACGTGACCTTCCAGACGCGCTTCGGGGGCTCTGACGCGTGTCCTTGGAGAGAGGAGCCCTCCCCTGGTCTCTGGCGGGGGTTCCTTCTGGTTTTCAGGTCTTCATCCACATCCATGTCTTCCCAGGGGTCCTGGGTTCTGAATCCAGAGCTCTGGTGGCTGCTGCACCTTTGCCCCAGAAAGTGGCCTCCTGAGGGGTCCTAACTTTTTAGAGCCAGAGGTCTCTCCATCTGGACCTGGTGGCTGGTCAGGATCTTCTTCCAGCCTTGAGGGGCCCTGGAATAGTCCCAGCCCAGGCAGGGAGACAGACCCGGCCCAGGTGTGCGAGAGCCACTGTCCCCCACAGGAGGCAGGAGCATGGAGGGAACCCCAGGGAGACGCAGGGCGACACTTCCGGAGGGGAGAGCCTCAGGCCCAGGCCCAGCCTTGTTCCGGATCGTCCCCTCGAGTTCCCATTGGGTGTGCAGCAGGTCACTCCCATTTTCTGGACATGGCTTTAAGTAATAAATCATGGGGAAAAGAATGTGCCCCAGGCTGGGAGAGCCTGGGATCACCTGTTCCCAAGCTCAGTCCCCGTCTCTTGGAGGGAGTGTGTCCTTGAGGGGCCTTCTGGTGCCAGGGGAGAGCATCCACTCACACAGCTGCCTGCTCCCCCGTGGGCCTGGCAGACAGTCCCTTGTGGGCTGCCTTTCTGCTTCGAGCCCACCATTGCTGCGGACTCACCTGTCCCTGCCAGTACTGGAACCTTCTGGAACACCAGCACTGAGTGTGATCGGAGGCCCTGTGAGGCTGGCATCCCCATTCCCTCCCAAGAGGCCCCTCATCCCCCACAAGAGGCACTCTCTACTAGGGTGGCCCAGGCGGATGTTTGACCGAAGCCGCTCTGGCCGGGCACTGGTTCACACCTGTCATCCCAGGTCTTCGGGAGACCAAGGGGTTAGATGACTTGAGCCCAGGATTTCAAAGTCGTGTGTGAAACATAGTGAGACCCCCCCCTACAAAAAATTAAAAAATTGGCTTGAGCTTGGTGGCTTATGCCTGTGGTCCCAGCTCCTCAAGAGGGGCTGAGGTGGGAACATTGCCTGAGCTGGGGAGGTGGGGAGGTCAAGGCTCACTCCAGCCTGAGACCTTGTCTCAAAAACAGAAAATATACACACGTGAACACACACACACACACACACACACACACACACACACGGGGAGCTGGGGCGGTGGGGAGGTCAGGGCTCACTCCAGCCTGAGACCTTGTCTCAAAAACAGAAAATATACACACACGAACAC